TCTGTTAGCTGATACGAGTTGACAGTTTTATAAGGGCCAGCGGACACTGACATATCTGGGCCAACCCCGTTACCTACGTTATTGATCGCGAGGAGAAGAGAACTTCTGCTGTTGCTGGTTTGGACACGCTAGCCGGCAGTTAACTGACTTTCGGCCACTTCGCTAGCAGTGTTGAGGATACCGGAGTACGAGAGATGTTCGGTGGTGAACTCGTGGATCGGAACGAGTAGGATGATCGTCGTTGGACGTTGACAGCCTGTGGAGTTTAGGCGATGAACGCCACTGGTCGTGAGTAACGCAAACTGGATATATGAACTGAACTATGAATGAGCTCCACCCGCGCGCCAACTGGGCCCTTAGAAACTGTTTATTTTAACCCCGGCCGGGTATTTTTTTTCCTCCTTTTTCTTTTTTTTTTTTTTCTTCTGCTTTGGGTTGATGCGTGTCTGTTGACAGCATTACTTATCCCTCTGGGTCGAAAGAGAGTTCTTAAATGGTACAAATAAATGGTTATTGTTTATCTTTTACCCTTGGCATTTCACCTCCCATTTCTAATGTTGTTGTGATAATTTGTGTATGTAACCTAGTGTAAATCTCGAAATAACTGTCTCTGAGCTAAGTTATGAATCAGAGTGGGGGCTCAAGAGCTAATCTTAATACATCAAACAGCATTCATCCAGGTAGTCCGATTTTTACAGACTACCCCCGGTCTCTGCTGAAGTGAGTAATCATCCCTCGATGTGTGGTGCCGGTATTTTGAAATGCTACGTAGCAGGGTTACTACATTTACTTGCTTGGGCTGAATTATCAGGTCTCTTTAAGTTTTTCACACGCCAGACATGTATTAGATTGGTGTGGCCAAGATTTAGACACTGCAGACCAAATGTGGCTGAAATTGGTCTCACCAAAATTATAACAAGCAGAAAATACGTTCCTGTTAACATAGATTTCAGCAGGTGTGTAATACAAATTGCCAATGAAATAATAATTTATGTTAAAAATACGGAAACAAAAAAATGAACTCCTTTATCTTATTTTAAATGAATAACTTCTAATTATATTACTTTAAGGGCAAACATTTTCTATCCATTGTTAAATCATTGTATTTAAATGCTCAAATTAAGTGTAAGCACTTTTATTTTAAGAAATTTGTAAACACTCTACATGAACATAAAATGAACCCAAAGGCTTGGTTTATGGTTTTAAACTTCACAAAAATAGAAGGCATGATAGAAAAAAGAATTTTCTGTGTTTTTCGTACTTTATGGAGCACAGAGATTTCACTGGATACAAGAAAACAAATGTGATAAAGATATATTAATGCTAAGACTTCAGTCTTGTTTCTATTCCTGCTGCAAAAAGTATGGAGAATCTATTTCATCTTTATTTACAGGTCATTCAAATGGACATGTGTTGCAAAGTGACAAAAATAGTTTAGCTACAGATGTATTTGGTACAATATTTAGGTGAAAGTATCTGAGAGAAAAACATATAGAAAGACATTTTCTGTTATGTATTGCATTTCAATGTCCTTTATATCAAGATTTTTTTTTTGCCTCACCTATTTGAAACAGGATCAACGCAGAGTCAGTTTAAACTCAACAATGTGGCCTGAATGTCTTCAATTAAAATTTCCTCAAGTCCATAAGAGAATATTTCAGCAGTGGCGAAAAAATACTGAAAATAATGCATCTCATAGCATCAATCAGAAAGGTGCTACTGACATGAAGCTTTGATATAGTAAAGATGAAAGTTTTTCACCCCTTAAAAGGTTAAGAACCCCTAATCCTTAGCAGAAGTTAAAGAAATGCTAAAACATAGAAATTCTGTAGCCAAGTGCCTAAAAACCCCTTAAATTTCCCATAGTAAAATATCCTGCAACTGTACTGTAGGTGCTTGGAGGGGTGACGTTACATGTACAGTAGCAGCCATTCAAAATTTCCCCATTTTCCTTGATGGGTCCTTGGCTGTAACCTGACTCCACCAGATGGATTTGCTCCGCATATCCATCTGGAAACCTTCCGTTGAAGTAATTTTGGGAAGGGCCATTTTGAACGGCTGCTACTATAGTCTATCTTGGTAGGAAAAAAAATGCATCAATCACAGACAGGTCACAGACACTTGCATCTATCTTGCAAATAGAGAACCAGTTTACTTTAAATGGGTAAAAGTATTTCAACCTCCAAGCTTTAAATGCCAAGTGATTGATTTCAACAGGGACCAAATCATGGCAGGTTTGATTTTACTGATCCAATGAATATACCCTTCAAGCAATAATAATAGTAATAATAATAATATTAATAATAATTGAACTTTATTGATTTCACATTTGAGTAATTTACGTCTGTATTCAACCCATCCCCATGGGGAAGAGTGGGCTGCCATCGTGGGGTACCCGGGGAGCAATCGGTTGTTAAGGGTCTTGCTCAGACACCCAGAGTGGCAGTCTGTGGGAGTGGGGCTTGAACTCAGGATTAACAGCTCTTTGCCCTAACCACTAGGCTGCTACTCCGTACTGAAGCACGATGAACTGTCGCAAGATTTGTAAATTCACAAACTCCTAAAAAAGATCAATCTTGCATGGATCCACCAGATATGTTTGTCTTGATACAGAAACATTTCGGGCCAATGAAATGCAGCGACGTGTATGATTTCACAGTGTCAACTAGAGGCAGAAGGCTGAAGCAAAACAAACACGGCTGCACCGGTTTTAGCTGGAATAGCCTCTATTTCTTTTAAAAAAAAAAATTGCAACACATGATTTTTACCTTTGCGGCTGGGAAGACATTTGGGCGTTCCTCCTGAGAGGATTTGGTATGAGTTTGATTCGTCAGTTGTTTCCATAAACAAATCAAGAATGTGATACGTCTCAACTGCTACTGCTGCTGTGATTGGCTAAAAACTCAACATGGGAAGCAGGTACCCAATATGCCCGAACGATAGTACCTAATGTCCGCCCTTTTTGCAACCACTTCCTACAGGAGGCTTCCCAGATTGATACAGTGTACAATTCAGAATTAACAACACATATCAATCTGGCTTATGCCAGGTTACCAACGAGCAGCACAGATGCACATTGGTAACTTGGATAAACTTCTCATCCCTCTGACTTTAGAGAATCAGACCGAACGTCTCTGGCACGTTGTTTAGCCAGTAAAATGGGAATGATTCCCTCGGCTGTCTTGTTGAGGATGCAGTAATCGTTGCAGTGGTTGGGTGTTGGAGTCTCATCGACAGGACTGCATGGTAAACTGCACTCCAGGCTCTGGGTCAGGTCCTCGCAGCTGCAGCCAGAATCGCAATGGCTGATCTCTAGCGTATCTTTCATACCAGAGGAGAAGACCTCTTTTTCTTGGAAGTTGAACCCCAAAGAGGAACCTGGGAACTGAGTGTACGGTGTATCCCCTGGACAGAGCAAAGTGGCAGGAGGGAAGGCGTTGTCCATCCCGGGTAGGCCGACGTAGGAGGTGTGACTCAGGGGGAAAACCAGTTGGGTCGTTGGAAGGCTGAGGAAGTCTTGATTCTCCTCAAAATCCTTTGAGCTGGATTTTGGCAAAACAGTCACAACATCAGGTATCAGGTCCTCCTCAGTTTTGTATGTCAGAACTTGTTTGCCATGCGGCGAGAGCCATTCCTACAAATTTAATGGAAGACATGAGGGTGTTAATGTTTACTTGACTTCTGTTTTTGTTGATGCTGTTGATACAAGACCGGTCAAAGTCTGTCTTTGTTTTTAAAGCTGCAACAGCAGACATCCCAAGTTCTAAAAACTCATTTCAGGAAGATGTTCCCACCCCCGTTTCAGCAACTGTTTATTAACTAACAGTATTTCTTAAACACAAAACAGAAGAGTATTGGTCTTTTATACATTTCAATACTTTCAATATTCCAGCCTAGAACATCTGTTGTGCTCCATATTGATCTTAAGACTTTAGTCATTCTTCACCTTCACTAAACATGGACATACTCTAGTATATTTTGCTTTAAAATGAGTCTTATATTTTTGTGTTTTTACTTGAGGATTCAACCTCTGCCATTTCATAGGATGCACAGCTTTGAGTGGTAACTAGTTGGTTATAGGGATGGGAATTGAAAACCGGTTCCTGTTCAGAACCAGTTCCATGTGTTCCAATTCCGTGGCATCATTTGGCAGGTCGCTTAGGGATTATCTTAACGATTCCAGGCAGCACGACTTATGTCACGTTTTTTACGCAAGTTATGCACATGGCATTAAGTAAGCAAGCATGACGTGACAAGGTTTAGGTCTAGAAGAGCAAAAGGAAAAAAAAAATGCTGCCCCATTGGGTAAAGCGGTAGAAAGTTTGGCTTCATTTTAAGGAAGAGAAAGATGGCAACAAGGAGCTTTGCAATTATTGCAAAGTGGCAATTACATCCGAGTGAGGAAATACATCCAACATGGAGAAACACCTGCACACACAACATGGCATACATTTTAACGAATGCTGTGTTTCTGATGCTAAAGTCGCTACCAGCATGGAAGGCAACTCTGGTAGTAGCTAGTTTTATATCACTGGCGGTGCTTAATGTGGTTCATAGTAAATCATATGCCATTTCTGGAAATAAACCAATTCCTGGTTCTCTTTGGGGTTATTAAGGGAGTGAGCCTTTCTTTTTAATCCAGCCCTTCATTGCTAGCATGTTTAATTAGAACTACTGGTGGCTGGAATTCATACATGATTCTAGCTATTGCAATAGATGTAACAAAACAGGCTATGAAGTTGCTCCGCAGTTCAGCAAGCGAGAGAAAGGTGACACTCGTTTATTTAAACCAGGAGAAGATTAGTTTATTTCCCGAAATTGTACAGTAATGCTGTTTCATTAAATGGAATTTAATGAAACAGCATTACTGAATCACAGAATCGATAAGGGAATCGGAATCGTGAAAATCTTATCAATTCCCAACCCATTGAACATAGCCTCGCTTTGGACCGACAGGTTTCATAGGCAACCTTACGGTGGCCCTGAAGTGCAAACTGCAACTACAAATCTAAAAGCACAACTACATTAAGGAAAACACAATTACATCAACCTACCGGAAAAGGTAGGTACCATTGGGAAACATGAGACATCGCTGATTGGACGACGGCGCCGTTTGACCCTTGAACCGGAAGTCATTCTGCCTGCTGCGGCTTTTGAAAACATGGATATTGTCGGCGCCCCAAACATAGCTGCCGTTATCCAAGAATATTTTGAATCAGGACATACGTACGAGGTGATACTGGATATACTCAAGACTAATCACGAAATTTCAGTTAGTTTGCGTACACTGAAGACACGCTTAAAAGAAGCTGGACTGTTCAGACGACGCAACTTCCGGTTCAAGGGTCAAACGGCGCCGTCGTCCAATCAGCGATGTCTCATGTTTCCCACTGGTACCTACCTTTTCCGGTAGGTTAATGTAATTGTGTTTTCCTTAATGTAGTTGCGCTTTGCTTTATGTAGTTGCGCTTTTAGATTTGAAGTTGCAGTTTGCACTTCAGGGCCACCGTACAACCTCCTCCCTACACACCCCTCCCTCATCAAAGTAGGTCTAATACGCAGATGATGCAGGAATTATTGTATTGCCTGCCCGCTTTTACTCACATTAAAAAAACACTAAGTCGCATAGTCTAAAATCCGGGATAATTTATCCGACTCGCGGGCATCCATGAACAGCTATCAATATCAGGGAGACTCCCGGAACTTTCGGGAGACTCGGGAGGCCTACAAAAGCTTTCTAACAACAAATAACTATCAAAATCTAAAATAAATTACCTTCAGTTTGGACCAGAAATGTTGATACTCTTACTCCAACCCTACCAATTCAAATGTGATTTCTCTTATTTCAAGACTTTTAGTTATCTTTTTGTAGTGCGTTCTTATTCAGACCTCCAGTAAAAATGTTTCAGTTTGCTGTGCAAGAAAAGCCAGAAAATGAGTAAATAAAATGAAGACCTCACCTGGAGATTTCCTTCATGTTGCTGAAACAGAGGCTTGAAGAAGGGGGCTGGTGTTGGTGTGTGGGCCAGAGTTTTTATCTTCATTCTGTTGCATGAGGAGATAAAATATGGTATTCAGATAAATCTTCTAAGGTAATCAGTGTTTTAATATAGAACAGCTGAGTCACCTTGTAGCAGGGTTGTAGAACGCAAAGAGGAGGACTCCAAGAGTTAGACACACAGGACCCAGAGTTTTGAGTAAAATGGGTAAAAGAAATCTTTGTTCTGAAATAAGACAGAGATGATGAGTACGACTGAGATATGAAAGTACATGAGGTGGCTGACGTCCCTGAATTATCTGCACAGTTCTGTGTAAGCAGAGGGGGAACATCTGAAACTCACACTTCGTTTTGCTATTACAGACTGATGTAGAGATACAGCTTTTCTAAGAGCTTTTTCTAAGCATTTTTGTCTAAATGATCCCCAATATGTGCTGCCAACATTTCTGGATGCTTTATCTTCCTCCATTTACATAATGAAAATTACACAATGAAGTCTCAATTCAAACAAAACGTGACATTTCTTAACGAATCAAACAAAACAAAAATTGAAAATCAAACAGAGGGGATGGTGTAGGTACCAGATCTGCTCAGGCTCTGCACATGCCAGGGATGTTACAGTATATGATTGGCTGAACATTGGCAGAGCGCTCAACATTGTGGCTTTCTGGACAACGATAATAACACAATGCAGTGTACATATGCCGAATCAGGAGCATCTGCATGTCTAATGATCAATGAATTTATACCCGATGGATAATATAAAAAAAATCTGTTTTTTGGGAACCGATTAACTTCAAGAACATGGACATTTCTTCATATGTGTACTCAAGTACTTGAAAAACATCATCACCCGGTGTTGTTCTCGCTGCTCCGCTCTGTATCAGAGCAGATTTGTCCGTTCTTGAGATTAACAGCCGATACCATCTGTTTGAAATTGATGTGTGTATATATATGAAGAACTGCAGACTACTTGGATGTTAAATAATTGCCATCATGGCTTTGTAAAGCTGCTGCCTACCTTTGTGAAGCAGGAATAAGACTAATACAAAGTGAATCCAGTAGAATGTTTTTATTGCCTACCTGGAATGGTTGACAATAATTGAATAAACTTTTGTTTCTCAAAATGGTATCGGTGCCCTATTTGGTGGTACTCGCCGATACCAATACCACCATTTTAGTGCTGGATCGGAATCGGTGCAACATTACTAGAGACTATTAATAACAGGTGGTTAAATGCAGCTCCAGACAAGCCGGGCATGTGGTAAAGTCACGAGTACTCTTCTGTTCCAATTGACCTATATTTATAATGCTTGCTCCCGTTCTCCCCAAGCATACTTTCCTGTGTTCTTCTCAAGAACATACTTGGCAAGGACACCAGTCCGTACTCGCATTCTTGTGAATCGAGAAAGGGGCATGGACTTGAGCCTCTGAGGTCAGTTGGTTGCCGCGGTCTTCTCAACTTCAGAACTTTTTTTTTTAAATTACGCACTAAGTCAGTAAAAGGGCCATATAGTAACGCTAAAAAGTATAATGTTCTCACCTCAAATGATCTTAAAATGTATTTTTATAGAACAACAACAACAGAAAAGAGAACTTTTAACTTAATACTCTGAGCTCTGTGAGTGCTAACCCGGAAGCTGCTGCTGCCGCAGTGCATGCTGGGACAGCTGTCAATCTCAAGAACGGACAAGTCTGCTCTGATGCATGCTGGGTAAATGGAGAGCGGCGAGAACAACATCCGGGGACTTGTGAATTGGAACAGTGCTAGAGCTAAGGCTGATGACGTTTCACGAGCACACAATCACATGAGAATGCACAAGTACACATATTAAAAAACGGCCCAAATATTCCTGTGTTCTTTTCAAGAACATTCTTGGCGAGCACACGAGTCCGTACTCCAGTTCTTGTGAATTGAGAAACGGCCCATGATATAAAAGGGCAGATCAGGAAAGCGCTGTGCTCAATAGCTAACAGCTTAGCGCTTTTAGCTCTGTCATTTAGCCATATTAGGCTACAATACATTTAATGTTTGAACAAGTTGCATTTGTCTTCTGCTCTCATTTTAACAATAATAAGAAGAAGCACTGAGAACGTTTGTGTTGTTAAATATATCCCAAAAGGGATTGGTGAAATGCAGAGAGGGAAATTTCCTCATTGTGGGACAATAAAGGGATTTAAAAGTTGAAACCATTGATAGCTATGATAAAAAAAAAGTCTACTTTACCTTCTTTGTCTTCATTTTTCCGACATATGGATTTACTCCATTCACTCCAACTGGACTCCAACTGGTATGATGTGCTTGAAGCCTTAAATCTGGCTTTGATGCAGTATTCAGTGTTCGGTTTCAGCTGGGATTCTGAATCATTCCAAACATTTTTCATTGAATTGAGGTTAATAATCTGAAGAAACACACCAAAAGTGATGCGGGGGATTAATGCATGGTGGTCTTAAATGGATCTGTTCTTTAAAAAAATTGGGTCTTACTTGTTTAGTGTCACTCTGAGATTCTTGAAGGACGACTTCATAGAACAGGAAATCTTTAATGTAGGGATGCCCCTTATATTTTTCACTTTGACAAATAATGGTGCGGTCTGATTGATTGACATTGAACTCAAGTTCAGGTGGAGGGGTCAGCTTGACTGTTGATAAAAACAACAAGAAATTCATCAATCATCCTTTTAAAAACACAAACAAAAGGAAAGCAATAGAAATGTGTGTTTTATCCCGTCAAAACCCACGGGGTCGCCAGCGACTAGATTTAAAATTTCTACTAATAATAACTCAGAATGCATGAAAATTACAATGGTAAAATGTTTAACATTATATAAACGTTAGGCATTGTTGGAATGCTTACATTCTCCACAATTCAACCACCAAGGTCATTTTATTGACATAACATGCACCAAAACACAATTAACACAGATATACACTCACCGGCCACTTTATTAGGTACACCTGTCCAACTGCTCGTTAATACTTAATCTCTAAGCAGCCAATCACATGG